TAGCAAACAATGTGCTAAGCAGGGTTGTGTTCTATGGGTTTCACAGAACTGAACTCATCTACCATGAGACATCAACAACTGTCAATACCACCTTACAGATGAGGAGGCCCAGAAAGTTCTCAAGGTGACCACCAGGGTGGGGACCTGAACACAGTTTCCTCCTGGTGGATCAGGGTCTGTGGCTATGTCCTTAGGCTCTGGAACAGAATTCATGTCAAGCAAGCTGACAGATGAGTAGGGCGTGTTGTGTGGTACCAGAAACCCAAGAAGTAAGAATCAGAGATGGTCAGGCCTCCAGGCCAGCAACAGGGTGGGGAGGGACAGAGGGTTGGGTGAAGGGAGGGCCTCTTTCCCTCTCCTGGAGGCCCCCATTTTGACTCCTCCCTCTGGGTGGATGTAAACTTTTTCTTCCTCACACAGGGCCCAGTGCAGCCACCAGTCCTGACTTTAGATAACCTTACAGTGCCTACACCCATCACCCACCACCAAAAGCTCCTGCCTTCCGTCCAAATTCCCAGGAAAGAGAGAGTAAATTTGATTGGTTCAACACGGCTTGTGAGTGGAGCTCTTTTGGATTAGGTGTTTGATTGGACAGAGAATACCATGGCTCTAGCTGATTGTCTAGAGCCAGGAGGATTTAGGTGCTTGGTATAAATACGTCTGTGACAGGAAAATAACGGTGTCCTGCAGCCTGTGTTACCTTACATGGCAAAAGGGACTTTAGGGACGTGATGTATTTAAGGATCTTAAAATCAGAAGACAATCCTGGATTATGCAGCAGGGCTCAATGTAATCGTAGAGGTTACATAAGGCCAGAGGAGAAGAGGAGGAAGGAGAGGATAGAAGCAGAGGTGCAAACAGTAAGACTGCCGCCAAGGAAGGGCCATGAGCCAAGGGATGCAGGAGCCTCTAGAAGGTGGAAGAGGCAAGGAAGGGATTCTCACTAGAGCCTCCAGAAAAAAGCCCAGCCCCACCCACATGGTGAGGGATCCTCCTAAGACCATTCAGATGTCAGATCGCCAGGACCAAGATGACACACTCGGTTATTTTAACCTGCTACATCTGCGTTATTTCTTTAGCATGACACGTGCACGTGGACTGTTCCCTTATCAGAAAAGTATTGGGGATAGGAAGATGGTGGCATTAAGCCAAAAGGTGACTGGGACCATCCCAGACACTGCAGAAGGACTCAGCAAATGGCCTGGTGAGGACTGGACACCAAGCTCATGGTGGAACACCCTACAGCTTGGGCAAACTGACAGTGCTGGCAGGTGTTGGATGTGGTCCTTGATGAGCACGGCCCTGCCCAGGGCTGCTGTGCAGGTCAGACAGTATGTCAGCTTCTTTGTCAAGAAGTTCTCTTCTGACAGACCCCTTCCTGTCCTCATGCTAATCTTTCCTGGGTGACTTGGAAGTAGTTGTTCGGATGACACTTGTAATAACCGCAGCCCTGATGTGTTCTGTAGAGACATGCCATAATCTTCCCGTCATGGATGGGAACCATGAGGCCCAGAGAGGCAAAGAGATTTGCTCAAGGTCACAGCATGAACAGACACATGCACTGCAGGCCCAGGGAGAACCGAGACTGGGGCGGATTGGGGGAAGGAGGGCTTTGTGGGTTGAACAGAAGACAGTTGTCCTTTGGGGAGAATTTGGGGTGTGGTCTCTGAGAGCCATCTGCCAGCCAAAGGGTCTGGGGAAGGACAGAGCCTTGCCTCTCCTGACAGGTGTGCAGGATCTCTGTGGCAGGCTCTGGATGGAGCCTGGCCACGGGTCACAGCATTTACCTGATTGCACGTGGAGCCCCACTATGGACCAAGTTGGGAGTGAGGGGCTGTGATGAGGCAGAGGAAGCAGCTTCAGAGTCTTGGGTCATGTCCTCCCAGCTGTCACTGCAGTCATTTCTACAGAGCCCTGCTGTCTGCTCTCCACAGCCAGCTTCTGTGCTCCCACCTGGATTCCTTCGTCCTCATTGCTGGGTGGCAGAGAGCCCACTGAGACCAGCAACCTCTGCTGGGGAGGCCCTGGCTCTGACCTCTGTCATTCTTGGACCCTTGGCACCAGGCCCATCTCTGTTCAGTGAGGGTCCTAACTTGCTCCAATTCTAGCCATCGAGGAAATCTTGAGTGAGCGGGGTCTGAAGGCAGAATTCGAAGGTCGCTTACCTTCAGAAGCCAAGGGACTGGGTTTCCAAACATCTCATGAAAACGAAGTCCTGGGTGTAGTGAACACCAGCCCTAACACGGTTTTGCAATTTCAGCCTTTACTGCTCCAACTGTCCTCATTTGACCGGTAAGAAAAACAGAAGCCCAGAGAGGTAAAGTGACTCACCAAGGACACACAGGAAGGTGGTACAGAGTAAAGCCAGCCGGGCCCTGGCTGTACACATCTTCTTCACCCTGCCTCAGGATCAAGCTCTAATGGTTGGGATTTGAAGTCCCCTGAGCCCCTGTGATTACCTCTTTTTTTTTTTTTAATACATAAGAGAACTGAGTCATGGAGGCACCAATTCACTTGCCCAAGGTCACCCAGGCTTTCATGCTGGAGCCAACATCTGGGTGTGCACAAGTCCCAAGCTCACCCACCCTCTGTTCCCATCCCATTATGTAACCTCTGCCATCCCCACCCGGGGCAGAGAGGCTGGGCTTGTCTGTCTCAGCCTGTCCCAGGCCTGGCTGGGGTATGAGCAGCAAGCTTCCTCTGCAGCCCTAGCCTGGGCACTCCCCACCACCACGCACCAACCATGCCCTGGCTGGAGCCACCCCTGCCCTTCCCGAGCTGGGCTCCTCCTTGCGGGGGAGGGAGGACAGCTCTCCTTGCCTTCCGGGTAGTTGGCAGAGCAGCAGCCACGGCAGCTCCCGCCTGCTGCCTGGCCGATGGAGAGATTATTGCTAAACCCTTCGCATCCTGCCTCTCTCCCTGCAGGACCATGCTGGCTGTCCCCATGGGACTTGGAGCGCCAAGTCCGCTGCTGAGGCAGGACAGCTGGCCCAGCGCCCTGTAGCACGGACCTCCAGACTCTCTCACCAGGACAGGGGCTTCAGGTCCTTGTGAAAACCCACGCTGGTCCTCAGGGCTCTCCTGCAGATGCGGGAGAGAGACAGATGCAGAACGAATGAACTTCTGGTTGCTGGAGGAGGCAAGGGAAGAAGGATGGGAAAGTAACTCTGCCAGAAGCCGCTGCGGTGGGGAGTTTTTTCCTTCCCCTTCATCTCCACCACAAACCTGCTTCTTCTCTGGGCATGAAGAAATGGGCTCTCCCTTGTCCAGCAGAGAAACAGCTGGACCCTGGCTCCCTGAGATGAGAGGTGAGTCCAAGTTCAAGGGAAGAAGTTGTTCGCTGTGGGGCAGGGATGTGTAATACAGCCATGGTGTTAAAATCTCGGCAAAAGCACTGCTTTGAGCAAATGCTCTGAGAGAGAAGAGATGATGGGGGAACGGCGGGGTGGGGGGGGAGGAGATTTGCAAAACTGGCTTTGTTCAGTGAATGTTTGTGTTCTGGAAGGAACCCCCAGGTTCTCAGGGAAACTGAGTCCTGGGTTGGATTTGGATGTGCTGAGTGACCTTGCACAAGTCTCTTCCGCTCTCTTGGTCTTGGATTTTTGCCCTCGGGAAGGAAGAGGGCTTGGGAGGGGCTCCCTGAATTTCAAAGCACCCCTTTCTCTGCGGGCGGGCTGCTCTTTCCTCTGGCCACACACTGGAAACAAAGCAATGCATGCAGAGTAGCAGAATGCTGCCTTGCAGGGCACAAGTGTGACACGCATTGTCCGTGAGTCACTCCTCGCTGCCCAATAGAAACCCCCGGCCCCAAAACTGAGAGGAGCTTTTATTTCTATTCACCTGCCAAGTCCCCTGCTGATTGGAGTGCGTCTGGAAATAAGGTTATAGGTGCTTTGGAGATGTCGCAGGCTGGAATGAATAGTGTAAGAAACACTTACAGAGTCCTGAGGATGAGCTGTTGTGGAAGTGATTTTTCTTTTTAATCTGTGAATGGGCTAAACCTAAAACAATTATCCCAAGCCAAGTGCCCCAAATATGTCTGACATGGAGAGAGAACAGTAGAGGCCCCTTCATTTTGCAGGCAAAAATGAAGGTCCAGAGAGGGAGAGTAACCAGCTCAAGGTCACACAGCCAGGGTGGCTGAGGCAAGCAGGCAGTGAACACGAAGGGCGCCATCAAGAAGGCGTGAAGTGCTTTCCACCCTCCAGGCAAGGTCCTCCAGCTGGGGGTAGGCAAGAAGAATGAAGCCATTGTGTGGGGCCCTCCTGAGAGCCAAACGCTGTGCCAAGTGTCACAGTCCTCAACTCTTTGAACCTTCCATGGCTGACCCTCACTGAGCCTTGGTTGCATGTCAGGCACTTGCTAAACGGTGAGCAGGACACTTGCCTTCCTGTGCCTCAGTTTCCTTGTTTATAAAGTGGAGCGAGTCCTGTCTACCTTGTAGAGTGTTGAGATGAGTCAGTTAGAGGGAGCCTGGCACGGCAGAGCGACCAGAGGGGTTCTTCACAAGCACCTCACTTATATTACTGCCTGAAACCTAGTCCAGTGCCTATAATGTGGGCACTTAACCTACCGGGGTCACACAGGCCAAGTAGAGGCCACAGAGAGGCTGAGCCCCAGAAGCACTGGAGCCTCTATTTAACACCTGGGCCCTGGAGTCTCTCCATGTGGATGAAGGATGTGAAAACAGAGAGGTGAAGTCACATGCCTGAGACCACACAGCCTGGAGTAGCTTCAGCTCCGCCTGGTCGGGCTCAGGACCACTCACTCGGGTCTGGGTCTAGCCCATTCAGGGAGATTCTGCTGGGTGTAAGTACCCACTCTATGGGGGGGGGGCACGATTTGTCCTCTGGCATGCCCCAGGCACAGAGAAGCTGCCTGGTAAAGTGAATGGGTGACAGATTCAGACAGTGAGTGACTGACGCAGATGCATGCCAGGAGAGCAAATGTCCACCGAGTCCGATTATCCTCTGTCCTCTCCCTCTTCTCTCTCTGGTGGCAGACGGTTGAACCCACCACTCCCAGGCCAGGACATTTTCAGCGATGCCCATACCTTCAGGAGACAGGGGCCTGCGACCTGGACACCCCCACTATGGCTCCTGCAGCCCCTTGAGCCCACGCTGGCCAGGTCCCCGAGAGGCACCATCGGTCAAGGGCCTTTACTACCGCAGGGCCCAGAAGGTGGGTGCCCTGGACACCTCCCCGGTGGCCGATCTGAAGAAGGAGATCCTGGTGAACGTGGGGGGCCTCAGGTACCTCCTGCCCTGGAGCACCCTGGACGCCTTCCCTCTGAGCCGCCTGAGCCGGCTCCGGCTGTGCCGCAGCCAGGAGGAGATCGTACAGTTGTGCGACGACTATGACCCGGACAGGCAGGAGTTCTTCTTCGACAGGAACCCCAGTGCGTTCGGGGTGATCGTGAGCTTCCTGGCGGCCGGGAAGCTGGTGCTGCTGCGGGAGATGTGCGCGCTGTCCTTCCGGGAGGAGCTGAGCTACTGGGGCATCGAGGAGGCTCACCTGCAGCGCTGCTGCCTGCGCCAGCTGCTGAAGAGGCTGGAGGAGGCGGCCGAGCTGGGCAGGGAGGAGGCCCTGCAGCGGCAGCGCGAGGCCCGGGGCCCGGACACGCACGCCTCGCGCTGGGCACGCTGCATGCACCGCCTGCGGGACATGGTGGAGAACCCGCAGTCTGGCCTGCCCGGGAAGGTCTTTGCTTGCCTCTCCATCCTCTTCGTGGCCACCACAGCTGTCAGCCTGTGTGTCAGCACCATGCCCGACCTCAGGGCCGAGGAGGACAAGGTGAGTGGCCTCTGATCAGGGCCCCCGAACCGCAGAAATGGCTTCAGTCTTTTTTTGTGTGTGTGTTTCTTTTGCAGTGTTGGGGTTTGAACTTAAGGCCTTGTGCTTGCTGGGCAGGTGCTATGTTACTTGAGCCATGCCTCCAGCCCTTTCTTGCTTCAGTTATTGTTAAAATAGGGTCTCAGTAACTTTGACTGGGCCAGTCTTAAATCAATCCTATCTCTGTCTTCTGAGTAGCTGGGATTACAGATGTGAACCACCACAACCAGCCTAGAAATGTCTTCATTTCTTAAAATAAGAAGAAGTGAATCTTATCCAGTGTGGAATATACTCATTGTGAGACTAGCACAGTCATAAAGGACTATTTTTTGTCCACGAGGGCAAAAGTGACAAGAGCTTAAAAAGTCATTATGTGCTCCTGACTCTGATAGGGATGCCTGGACACTGACAAAGTCACACCTGGTTGCAGTGGCTGGGCAGGCCCAGCCTCATCTCTCTCAGCTCTGTGGCTGTCGGCAAATCGCTTCACCTCTGTGGGCCTCAGTTTCCCCTTGATAAAAGGCACCATTGACCTGAAGGTTCACACATGTGTGTACTGAGCAGCAACTGTGCTGAGCACCAGGCTGGACCCCACATTCCTGCCTCCTTGAGCTCACATTCCCGGGGGCATCCCAGGTCCATTTTCAGATGAGAAATTGAGGCAGGGAACATTTGTTCCCTCCAGCAACATTGTAAAGACACCGATTATGGAAGAGACTCTCTGTTTGTCACCTCATCCTGAGTCTCACCGAATGGAAACTCAGAGAAGAGGTGATTCGTAAGCGTTCTTGCCCCAGGGGGCTGGAGTAAATATTTTCCTTATCCACGCCTACATTCTTTCTCCAGGGGACCCGGAGGCCTCCTAAGGGTCTGAGAAAAAAATGAAGAGCCCAGCATTTTGCAGGAGGGTTGTCAGACAGCTCCAAGCTAGAATGGATGGGTTCTTAATTAAAAGTTGCTCCTCTCCCCATCGTCTGGGCTAACGGGCTTATGTTATAATAGAGCTGATAAGATGTAAGGTCACATAATTGTCTGCCCACCTCACCGCACTTCTCCCCCCATGCAGATTTGTCCCCTGGTGGTAACCTGTAGGGTCTGAGAATTTTCCAGGTGAAAAGGAGTCAGGTGAGGAGCCAACTTATGCCTCACACACAGTAGGCGCTCAGTAATCATTTGTAGAATGAAATACATCTTATCCAACCTACAAACATTTTACCCTAAAAAAATTTTTTTTAACTACTTGGGCTTTCAAACAGCTTGTTTGATGCTTCTAAATCTGAAGCATTTTTCAATCTAGCACAGAGCATGTGATTTAAAAGCCTGCTTGCTTGCAGCAATATTTACATGTGGATTCTGCAGCAAGATGATTAGGACAAGCAGAAGCAGTGTCCTCACCCCGTTCCTCCAGGGCAGCCCCATCCTGGCCACTGAAGAACAGCCCTCAGGTTTCCACAAGCTTGTTCTTCTTAGGGATTTCTGGGAGATGGGCAATTATGTGGGGGACACAAGGGCTTCTCAAAACCTAATGCTTTGAAAATTATGAAGAGCACGAACCCAGGCCTGTCTCCACATGACTTGGAAAATCAAATTAGAGGTGGGTCGTGGCTTGCAGCAGGGGCAGCCCAACATGGCAGCTGAGAAAGCAGGCAGCCATGTCCCCAGGGATAAGAGGGATTTCTGCTTCTCTCCAGCCACAATGGCTTTATGCTCTCCCCATGAAGCCACCTGCCTGGAGACTCCCCAAGAGCACAGCCTGGAGAGGGTCTGTTTTCCTGATGGGACAATAATTCAGATAGCCTGGGAGGCTGAGGGTGGCGATCTTTGCTCTTTCAAGACTGCGTCCCTCATTTGCATAAAAAGCTGATGTTCTCTTCCCACACACGTGCCTTGTATTTCATATTTGCCCTCTGGGGACAGCAGGCTGGAAGCGGGCCTATTCAGCCAGCTGGCTGCTAACTGCTGCGCTGCTCTGGAGACAGGCCATGGGGTCCATGCAGGCTGTCCCAGGTGGCCCTGAGGGCATCCATGCCAATGTCACTGGGGAGGGAGGACCCATACCTTAGGATCGTGACCCTCAGACCTCCGAGGGGGATGGTGCTGTTGGAGGGGGAGACTGCCTGAGGAACACAGATTTCCAACACCAGGCTGGTGCCCAATTTGCAAATTAAGCTGGGGAGGAGCAGCACAGGCAAAAGCAGCCAAGCTGGGTGGAACCGCAGAGTTCTGGACTCCTTAGTCCCTTCTCCAGGACTGACAGGTACCCAGGTGGCTGGTGGAGTTGGCTCTCAATCCCCGCACCACATCCTCTACTGTGGCTACTTCAACTCCTTGCTAAGTGGGGCTGGGGAAGGAGGCACAGAGAGATTCTGTAAGGACTGGGAGGGATGCTGGGGCCCCTAGCTGGGAGCGAGGCTCCCTATGCTGCAGACGCAGCTGGTGCTTCCCGCCCTTCCTCTGAAGCCACAAGCTGCAGTAGCCCTCCTCTGTCCCTCTCTGGGACCCGAAATCAGCTTCCTGAGGCGCTGCCCTGCTCTCTGCAGCTCTCCGGGTTTGATGACATTTGGTAATTGTTCTAGTGGATTCCTTACAGCTTTCTTGCTTTGTTGGGGTCCTCCCCGCCCTCCCTCCCCCAGTGAGTCTCCCTATATCCTAGCCAAAAAGAAGTACTCCTGTTTTCCTGAGTCAGGCCATCCATGTTTCCTGGCTCTGTTCCCAATACCATATCACACCCCTTGTCTCCATGGCTCCATCCTAGCCCCCCTCCCAAGCCCAAGTCGTCCATGGAGGCCTCAGGCTCTGCCAGGGGTTGGGCCCCTGAAGTTCTCTCCTTTAGTGACTGTGAAGGGGCACTGTCCTTGAGGCAATGGGACAGTGGTACTTGCCTCTGCACAGGGAAAGCCCCTGTGAGATTTAGGGCCAATGAACAGAGTCGTCCTCAGTGTCCTTGGGGATTGCTTCCAGGACACCCCGCCAACCTTGGATGTCAAAGCCCAAGGATGCTTGTGTCCCTCATAGAAGTCAGCACAGTCTTTGCACAGCCTCCTGTATACTTTAAGTCACCTCTAGATGACACAAAATCTAACACACTGCAAAGGTCTGGTGTGATGGTGCATGCCTGTAAACCCAGCACTCAGGAGGCTGAGGCAGGAGAAGTGTGAGTTCAAGACCAGTTTGCGCTATGTAATGAGTTCAAAGCCAGCCTGAGTTACACAGTGAGACCTCATCTCAAAAAACCAAGGACTGGGGACGTAGCTCAGTGGTTGAGTGCTTGCCTAGCATGTGCAAGGCCTATGTTCTATCCCCAGCACCATTCCAAAAAAAAAAAAAAAAACTCACACATTATAAATAGTATAATTTGGTGAATAATGACAAGAAAAATATCTGTACAGGTTCAGTACATTGGCGATTTTTTTCTGAATGTTTTCCACCTCAGGGTGGTTGGATTCACAATCGCAAAACCCATGGATATACTTATAGCCGGGTGCTGTGGCTCACGCCTGTAATCCTAGCTACTCAGGAGTCAGAGATCAGGAGGATTGTGGCTTGAAGCTAGATAGGGCAAACAGTTCGAGAGACCTTATCTCAAAAACGCATCACTAAAAAGGGCTGTTGGAGTGGCTCAAGGTGTAGGCTCTGAGTTCAAACCCCAGTACTGAAAAAACAACAACACATGGATACGGAGGTGCCTATATCTGACCCCTGCAGTGTACCTGGCGTTATACCATTATTTCCTTGTTTCCTAATTTAATTCCCACCATAGCCCCATTTTAAAGATGAGATCATCGAGGTCCAAGAGGTGAGGAGTCTGTGACCATCGGCTTTGGGAACCTGGACCAGAGGGCAGTGGGGGAAGTGTTTGAGGAGGAGGAAAAAGCAGTTTGGACAGTGGCCAGTCTCTGGGGTCCACAACTGCCCTGTAGATGAAGAATCCCCTTCCCACTTTACAGAAGGGGTGACACCTTCAGAGCCTTGTCCACAGCAGGAGTGCAGTGGGGCTGTGCCCCCATGCTGGGGGTGGGGGCTCTGGCCTTTCTCAGAGCCCTTGGTCCGAGATGGGAGGTGGGGGCAGTTGATAGGAGGGAGTTGAGGGGAGTGAAAACCTGGGGCAGGGCTGAGGCTGGGGATAGTGTCAGGAGAGGACAATGGAAGGGTACAAAGGAGGGAAAGGAGGTGACACTGGGGTGGGCTGAGAGAAGCTGGCTCTGGGGAAGGTGGAAGCGAGGCAAGAGTGGATCAGCACCTCAGCCCTGGAGAGTCCAGGAGGAAAGAGCCCAGGGCCAGAGATGCATGGGCCAGAGAGAGGGCACAGAAGGAGGCCAGATCTGCAGAGTGGATCCACAGGACCAGCACAGAACCAGAGATCCAAGGCAGAAGTGAGAGAGGAACCATGTTCTGAGGGGAGCTGCTGTCAGAGACAAAGGAATGAGCTCACTCTAAGGTCAAGACCGGGGCCTGAGTCATGCACAGATGGGCTTTCTAGAGCTGGCCTCACTGCATCTGCAGCCAACTGCCTGTCCACAGGAGCAGCAACTTTGCTCTCGGAAGTCCTGCCCGCCCCATACCCGGGCAGCACCCTTCCAGCAGCCTGGTCTGGCACTGAGCGTAAGGCAGTGGGCCCCACTCACTACCTACGCAGCCTGACCTGGCTCAGACAGGGAGCCTGGATTCTTACGTTAAGATATAATTCACGCAGTGCTGTGACCACCCTCTTACAGTGCACAGTTCAGGGGGGTTAGGGTGCTCACAGAGTTGTGCAGTCATCTCCAGTACCTTACTGGAGAACATTTTCACACTGCAAAGGGAACCTTGTACCCATCAGCTCCGGCCATTCCCTATCCCCACCCCCCACCATCCCTAGCCAGCACTAACTATTGTCTCTGTGAACTTGCTTGTCCTGGTCACTTCAGACGGATGGATTTGAACAATGCGTGGCCTTTGCATCTGGCTTCTTGCACTCGGCA